CGATGAATATAGTGATGAGTCGACAGATAACCAGTGTGCTACGGCTGCAGCCGATCGACCAGATTACGGGGAGTGACGTGCAAGTAAGGAGATAGCAAGTCAGTGCAAAGCATAAAAAGAAATGCCAGTAAACATTCAACCATATGCATTTCCTGTCTACAAGCAAGACACTTATAATGGCTTAAGTAAACCATCATTTACACACCAGTCAATTAATGCTTTTTCCCTTTCATTCCAAATCGTACAGAAACTTCAGATTAATCTTATCATAGGCAGCTATTTTGCGTTGTTAAGCACAATATAAGCGACATCCAACGCAGAAATAGGCTGTGGATTCAAAATCACCACAATCCCATCATGAGTTTCCAAAACATACACTGCAAAATATTCAGGTTGCCATAAATAAAACAATAACTTGGTGATAATCCTAAAATATAGACTAACCGATTTTTTTTTTCCAACTTACTGAAATGACATTTCAAATACCTACTCGCTAGGAAATCGTGAGATGGCCAATGACAGGACATTGATAAATTGATGAACACACTTTCAATCATTGATTTGTTGTGGAGGATTAGCATTTTTCTATCTGACTTAAAAGTTAAATTTGAATGTTGCCATGCCTACGTTGTATTTTACTACGTCCTCCACGAAGGCAGATCGCCGTAGTGTACGGTTAAACAGAAGGCTTAGCTCATTCCTATGTGCGACCTCACCGTTGAGATCCTCGTTGGGAGGTTTAACAGGAAGTAGTGTAACGTCACTATGTTGAATCTGCTCTAACCTTGCCTGTTAAAAACTAGCAATGTGAGCATCCCAAATTAATTTTATTACACATATGCTAACTTCGAAGCAATTTTATGCTGCCTGCGCATACATTTTCCTTAAATTAATTAGCATTATTATGACAAAAATTAAGAAAGTATTTAAGATTTTAATAGTCTGGAGTCCAGTTTTATGTTATATATTCATTACCAAAAACAAACATAACTCTTCGTAAAATCTATAAATAGAGCTAATAAATTTACATTGCGTTATAACAGTCCGGTCCTTAGGTTTTTTGAAACCTATTTTTAGGGCTTAAAAAGTCCTTAATTTTAATCATTCGAAATTTCTCTCTGTTTTTACAACTTCCATTTTGAGTGTGAATTAGCATTTTGCAGGAATATTTTTGGCGATTCACTGAAAAATATGGTTATCGTTTGAATTGGTTCATGGGTTATAATTGTTGCTTTTTCTAATATAAATGGTGAGATACTCGAGTTTTATAGTGAAAGAAGTGAAACATAAGAATTTCGAAATTTTAAAATTTTTTCTAATGAAGAGCTCTTTAACAACTTTTTACTTTGGGGATGTGAATTCTTTTATTAAATGGTTCTAAATTTGCCGACTTATCAACATTTTTGCGATTTTCTATAGAAAATTTTTAATTCCAAGATCTGTAAATTTTTTAAAAAAAAACATTGTGATATTGATAACTTTCATTAAAATAACGGTAATATATTAAAATTATTACGTCCAAAGGGGCATTTTTTAACACTTTGTCTGTTACTTTTAATTATTAAATATCATGTTCTTCACACGTAAACCATAAAATTCAGTTCAAGAGCAATATCGCAAAATAGTTTTAAATTGAGCATATCTTTAGGATTTTCGATGCAGAGTCTCATTCGCTGGAGATAATGTTTTTTTCTGTAACATTCTGTTTTTCTGTTCCATTGCTCGCTTTTGAATCGTTGAGTTTGTTAATTAAAAATTCATTAAAGTTTTACAAAATATGAAATCGATAATGTAACAAATTCCAAATTTGGGCTTTTGCCCATATTCTCAGTAAGATTATGTCGTTCAAAATTTGATGGCTCTAGGTACCGTTGTTTTATTACAATGCGAGAAATATACATACATTTATGCAGATATTTCATTATTTAATTTCTTCAAATATAATGCAGGACTCTAACATTTGGTGGCAACAATTTGAAAAGTGAAACGGGTATTTATAGTGAACTAATGCAAAATCGCAAAATGAAAACAATAGTCCTTCAGGGACAAAGCCTCTTTGGACTAAAAATAACATTCAAATACAACATTTTTTATTTTTGCTGTCATATTATAACAGGGTTGGCACGCTACCTGGAAAACTGGAAAAAGTCGGGGAATTCTAAAATTGGTAAAAAAGTCAGGGAATTTAGATATTTTAGTCAAAATCTGGAAAAGTTGGAATTTCATACAGCAATTCCCCACAAAAAAGCGAGTTTCCAAAAAAGCGAGCCAATGTTGGAAGAGATCTTTCTTGGTGAATTATGTTTTGTGTGATAGACAATTTTCGCAGCTCCAATCAGATTGTCTTTTAGAAAGGCAAAGCAAGTTTTCAGTAACTTTGGCTTCCAGTAACCTCGAGAAGCGAGAGACTCGTATGTGCAGTGCATGTTGAACAAAATAAAATACATTCCCGTTCTTGTACAGTTAAAAGTCGTTAATTCAAACACCCATAATCCGGACTTCAAAGCTACAAACTTTCTGCGTATGCATCTCGTTCACGCATGCGTATAGGCGTTTACGAGTGCACGTAAGACCTTTACGGCTGCGAATATGTGTGTGCGCATGCGCATTTAATGTGTAACGGATGGTATAAACTAAGCTAAAATTATCTAATTCAATTAATGTTGCAGATTGCGTTGTTCCTTAATCTTCGAATTGGATCCGGCTTATTATTTTTTGCAGACTGTTAGAGCAATTTTATAAAAGTAAGCTTGAACTTCCGATTATGTCAAATAGAATTTCCGATATATATTTTAATATGTAAAGGATCTACAAAGCGAAAGTATGTTTCAAAATCCGAAATCTGTTTATCAATTTTACGCCGCGGTGCGCAATGAATTGGAAGTTGATCTGTCAGCACTATCCTTATCTTCAGGGCAGATGTTTTTATTTTATTTCGCTTATAATTCCTTACTAAATGTAGTATTTCATCTCGATGTACTCCGTCTTTGATATGATTTAAATCAAGTTCCTCGTCATTATAATTCGCTTCCGATAGTGAAGAAAGTGGCCCAGAGGTTATTGAAAACAAAAAAATTTCGATTGACAAATTAGTCGGTATTCTCGACACAGCAATTATAGGACTTCAACAGCGGAACTTTGTAACTAAACAAAAAATTATGTCTCTTTAATAGAATTAAAGAGAAAGTATTATCACATGAAACGAAGCAACTCAAAAACAACTTACATTGAAAGAAATGTTTAATAAAGTAAACAAATAAATATTAAGCTTTTTCTTTTTGTAAATTTTGATATCCTTTAGATCATAATTGTTCTTTATTTCATAAATTACAGTTTCAAATTTTTAATTTTGTAATTTCTGCATGCCATCTTACAAGATTTAAACTGATGATCTATAATCCGGAAAAATTGATAATCGGAATCGCCGAAGTCCCGATGAGTCCGGATTAACGAATTTTGACTGTATAAAACAAAATTGGTTTAATCCTACTAATGGTACACATGGGATTTGGCTACAGTGCATGTTGATCTAAAGAAAATACCTTCCCATTCTCGTACAAAACAAAATCAGTTTAATCCTAGTAATGGTACACATGAGATTTGGTGCTATTATGATGAGCAGTAAACGGATCATTTTGGTGTTGGCAACAGTTTTCAAAATCGTGGCAAGGCCGTAGCACATACTGGGGTTTTACCGCAAAATTCTTAAAAAATTTTTTAATTTTAATAAATGCGTTATTTGTCATTTTGGAGTAAAATAAAAAAAATAGTAATCAGTCATCTGAGCTAACCGTAAAAAAAAGAAAAATAATGCAGAGTGCTTTTTAAAGACTACATGATTTAAATTTGAAGAAAGATCATTTTGAGACCAATTATGAAAATGATGATATGAATAACAAATTAATTATGAACGATTTTAAAAAAGAACTCGTAAATAAATTGCTGAATGCCCTAACAGAAAAACAAAACAAAATGCATTGATAATATATAAAAATCAAAGATAGCTCGCCATTTTAGCTAATTAATAATCGTAGGAAACAAAGTAATTTTGTGTAAAAAAAAAAAAAAAAAAAAAAAAAACTCTTCCTCCTTTGCCCCTCTTTTGAAAAATTAAGTAATTCACTTTATATAATGTGAGCAAAGTTGTTTTGTCAAATTTAAGGAACTCTTGTATTTATTTAAAATGTAATGTGTAATAATTTAATGTATGTGTATAAATGTCAGACAATTATTTTTACAATATCTGTTATTATATCAAATCCGCAGAAAAACATGCCTATTTTAATTAGGTCAAAAAAGCAATCTCAGATTAAATTAAATTTTTAATAAAACTGTTGATTTCAAAGGCAGTCAAGTGTAAGTTTCTCTTCTGTAGCTGCAGAAAAAAAGAATTGAAATATATATTCAAAACTATAGGTAAGTTTTTTTGAGGGGTGGGGCTATCTTTAAAAAGCTCTTATAATTATCTTAGAAAGAGTAATAGAATTCTCCCACTTAGTATGCAGCTGAAGAAAAGAAGGTAATCCCATAGTATTTTTATTTTCATGATTTAAGAATAAATGCACAGGGGGAAAATGCCTACAATTTAAAAAAAAAAAAAAAAGTAACATAGTTTATCCAATATTTTAAAATTAATAAATAAGTATTATTTACTTCTTTTATAAATGCATACAGTAATGACGTACTATTGTCTTCCAAATTAAAGCTATTTGTTCACACATAGTTTTTAAAGGCTGTTTTTTTAAATTTAAAACTTTTATTTCTTTGTTGCAAATTGAGGCTTTGCAGCCAGTGTCAATATGACTACGTCATCACTCCTCAATTCCTCCTGTTTCAGGTGAGGGAAGCTCTATGAACTAGCTCTTATAAGTCCTAGCTCTAATGTGTTATTCTATAGCTCCAGTATTTTTTGTTAATTCTGCTGTAATAATTGAATTATTAATTTTGCTTTGTGTTTAATACTTATTTGTCCTCATTTAAAGCATTTTTCCCCCTTCCAGATGTTTTCCCATCTGTATTTGAAGGAGTTGAGTTAATACTTGGTCATGAATTGGGTAATCATTTTCAAATTGGTCATTCTATAAAATGGAGCACTGAGGCTCCTTCTGGGTATAGTTTTATGACAACTTATGTTGGAACTAATCAATTTGGTCCTATGGAGGTAAGTTCATCCCCTCCTATTACAATCCGAAAAAAGTATAATTTTTTATGCAGTAGAGGTTTGATAAAATGCAAAGTGTTAGAAAATTAATCTTAACTTCATTAGAATCTTGAAATAGGGTGCTTAAATTTTGCATTTTAAAAATTGGCTTTTTCAAGCTAACCTTTATCTGTTGTAATATCTTGTTATTTAATAAAAAGCAATATTTATTGTTGAAGTGGCAACGCCATATTTGTATTATGTAACCATTGCTCACCAACATGAGAAATTGTTTTAAAATTAGAATTCTGAAGTTTTTACCAGCTAGCAGTAGTATGAAAGTTTTGCCCCTAAAGAATTTCTTCAAATTATCTATCTCCGCGAAATAGAAATAAAATTTGTGTTCTACTAAGAAGATTGCCTGTTTTGTTAATTACTGCAAAATACATTACGCAGTGAATATTACATGTTTCAAACACTGCATATTTTATTTCTGCATTAAGTTAATATTTTTCTGCTATGCAAAGAAAAACCCATGTTATATACTGCTGGACATTAAAATTGCAACACAAGGAAGGAATGATATGATGAATGTCAAAATCATGTGAAAGGAAGAAGAGGTTAGGATATGCAAACGATTAATATTTCAGTGCATTTAGATGATGCAGGAAGGAGAAACAGGTACTGCATAAAAGGTCTGTATTGGATGTCTCATTTGGAAAGCAGTTTGTAAGGTCTAAGTTTGCTCAGAATATCGTGTTATGCCTCGAATAAGAAAAAATGCTTACCAGCAAGTGTCGGAATTTGATAGAGGCAAGAGTGTGGATTATCATTCCGTGATATCACCCATCGGACTGGTCAACATCCAACTACTGTTATGCTAATATGGAATCAATGGGTTGCTAAGGGTTATGCTGAACGGCATATAGGATCTCGATGCCCTCCCATGACTAATGCCTGAGAGGAAAGACATATAGTGAGATCAGGACGTCTATTCTATGATCACCGGATCTGTCTACAACTTGAGCGAACAAAACTGACTCAAAAAAAAAAAAAAAAAAAAAAAAAAAAAAAAAAAAAATTCGGTATGGACCACCCATCACAACTTATCGGAGAAAGCCATTCTGTGGTCCTCAGTTGGTGTGCGGGTGGGTCCATTTGACTTTACTGAAAGAGGACAAGGCTTCAAGGAGCTTTAGACCAATCGCAGTACAGATGAGTGATGAAATTTATAGCGCGTGCTGGCTGAAGTTCTAAGAATATTCTCCTATTATTTCACTAATACACACGCTGCATTTGTAGTTTGAAAAAAATGGCACAAAACAGTATTATGACCAACACACAGCAGAATATGCTGCTATGTTATCCATTTTTTAAGGGGAAAGTTAACGCAGGAATTTAAGACTAAAAAATATAGAGTGATATGGGATACCATGAAAGCAACGGTAAATAGATAAGAGTAAATGAATTAAGCTTACTTCAAATCTTTTTAGAAATAAACATTTTCATTCATTTAAATTTATAATATGATTAACTTGCTTTACAATCTAATTGCAAACTTAGTTCTTTTTTTTTTTAATATGCTTACATTAAGCTGTTTTCACGCATTTTATTTTACAGTTAATATTAGAAAAATATTTCTTTAAGTAAGAAATTAGAAAGAAAATATTTCTTCCTTTTTTTTATTTTCTTTTTCTATGAAAATTATTTCTTTCAGGAAAAAGATTAAAATTCATTCGCTATTACAGTAAATTTAACTTTTAAGTCAGATAGAAAAATGCTAATCCTCCATAACAAATCAATGATTGAAAGTGTGTTCATCAATTTTTTCAATGTCCTGTCATTGGCCATCTCACGATTTCCTAGCCAGTAGGTATTTGAAATGTCATTTCAGTAAGTTGGAAAAAAAAAAAAAATCGGTTAGCCTATATTTTAGGATTATCACCAAGTTATTGTTTTATTTATGGCAACCTGAATATTTTGCAGTGTATGTTTTGGAAACTCATGATGGGATTGTGGTGATTTTGAATCCACAGCCTATTTCTGCGTTGGATGTCGCTTATATTGTGCTTAACAACGCAAAATAGCTGCCTATGATAAGATTAATCTGAAGTTTCTGTACGATTTGGAATGAAAGGGAAAAAGCATTAATTGGTGTGTAAATGATGGTTTACTTTTTTTTTTTTTGCTCAAAATAAATAATTTATTAATTAATTTAGTGAGAAAAAATATTTTCTTTACCTTTACACAAAACGATATTCGCGTTAATAATATTGTAACTAAATGCACTTAGATAATTTCATATAAGAAAATCTTTTATATTAATTCAGATTATTTTATAAATTTGTCAGTGTTTTTTAAATATACTGAAGGTGATTTTTTTCCAGATTCGCACTGTTTCTTTAAATATTTTTCTGCAGTTGAAGTCCTTGTCAAACCAGCTTTTCGACACATTAAATAGAAAACTAATAATAATCAATATCTCTTTTACAATATAAAAATGAGAACTCCGCTATGAACAGTATCTTTTTTTTAAGTTTGCAAAGAAACAGTGATTTTTAATACTAATGGAGTACAAAAGTACCATTCCATGAACAAAAAAGAGGGAAAAAAAAACATTTTCGTCTCTAGAGCGCGAAACTATGTATCGGAAATTCTAAAGGTATGTCTCAGTCTTATAGCATTGTTACTTTATAGCATAATACAATAATAATACAGTATAATTCTGCTAATAAGCCCACCAGTGGCCGAGCGGTAGAGTCGCTGAAAGCAGGTAGTTTGGTCTGAGGTTCGAATCCCATGAACGAGCTGCCCGCATCGGCGTTTTCGTGGCTTTTCCCATATGTAATGTGTATACAAGCCAGTTTCCCACAGAAAGTCCTCCTTTAGAAACCAATTTTAAAGCGTAATAAAATTACACACACACACACACAAACAAACAAACAAACAAACAAACAAAAAAAAAACGAAAGCTTTCAGATTTTATATTACTCCCAGAAGGACGGGTTTTTAATTTTTTGCGTGTTACCTTTATTTATTAAATATCATGTTCTTCACATTTAAACCATAAAATTCAATTCAACAGCAAAATCATATAATTTAAAAAGAGCATATCTTTAGAATTTCTGATACATAGTTTCGCGTGCTAGAGATGAAAATGTTTTGTTCCTCTTTTTTTTCCGTACAATTTTGCCATTGCTCGCTTTGAAATCATTCAGTTTCTTAATCAAACATTCATAAATGCTTTACAAAATATGAAATAGGTAATAAAACAAATTCCCAGTTCCAAATTTTGGCCTCCGAGATGCCTATATTAGGATGGAGGATTATGTTATTCAAAATTTCATGGCTCTAGGTACCGTTGTTTTATCACAGTGCAAGAAACATTCCTACATTTATGCAGATTTCTCATTATTTAATTTCTTTAAATATAATACAGTGCGATGATATTTAGTGGCAACGATTTGAAAAGTGAAACGCTACAAAATGGCAAAGCGAAGTTAATAGCCCTTATGGGCTAAAACTTATTTTTAAAAGTATCACACTAGTAATAGTACTGCTACTGAAAAAATATTATAAAGCTATTTTATAGTTTTATAATTCTTTTTTAAGTTTTTATTTTACAGTAGTGTGAATTTTGCGTAATAATGAACAACATTCCTTTTTGTTTACAGTATTGTAAGGTATTCAACTGTTAGATTTTAAAATAAACTTAATTCTTGCTGTACATAAATCGAGTAGAAGCTTATCGGATGTCTATATGTGCTTAATAAACTTATTATCTTCTACATTTTTAAAGCACATGATTACAATTTATATCTATAATTTTAGGAATGGTATAAATAACCTTTCTTTCAGTAGAAACTGGGTTCTTGTTTTCTGAATGTGGCTCCAAATACTCTATCAGTTCATCGCAAATTAAAATAACAATAAATTTTGGCAATCTGAAATACGCAATGAAAACATCTTCTGGCAGAGCAAGAGCATCAACATATTTTTCTATAAATTCGCCACCAATTCAGAGATTTACGACCGTATTCTTTGTTTAAATATGAAAAAAAAAATGAGTGGCGAAAACATATACAAAGCAGCCATTGTCTACTTAGTACGTCAACTGCACAACCCTGATTGACGACGCGGCAACACTTTTTTGTGCGCTTTCTACAACTTCCGTACTCAGAGAATATAGGATGTCGGGCAGACCTGTTTTTCACTAGCAGCGACATCTGGCAGCCCACAACTTGCTGTCGACTCTCGTAGCGTAGAATAACCGTCCAGCCTTGCAAAACTACACACATCATTACGATTAGTTAGGAAATGGGCACATTTGCAGCAGCGAGGACTATCAGCACAGCAACCATTACTTCGGCTTCGCTTGACAATGCAGCAGAGAGAGAAAACAGCAAATCTGGTGCGCTGAAAAATAAAGCTGGAGTGGCACAATGCCAGACGAGTTCCGGTATCGCGTACAGTATTCTAATGGCCACATACGTGTCTGGAGGCTCCTAGGAGACTGTACGTTGCTCGTTTGCATTCGATATTCGCGTAGGGGCCCTGCATCTGGTATGATGGTTTGGGCAGCCATTTTGTTTGAACACGGATCGGTACATTTCTGACATCTTATGTCAGGTATTTGTGCCCTATCTTCAAGGTCAGCCAGATGCTTCTAATAATATAATGCAAGACCACATGTTGTACGTCGGGGTGTTCTGACCTTCCTCAATAGACAAGGTATTCAATTGCTGTCCTGGCCTGCATGATCTCCAGACCTGTCACCCATTTAAAACATCTGGTCGTGGGTTGCTGAGAGACTGGTCCGCAATCCCTCTCCAGCTAATATGGTTAGTGAAGTGTGGCATAGACTTGAAGCAGCATGGAATGAGTTGCCTGTTTCTGAAATCCAAGCCCAGTTCGACTCCATGCCTAACCGAGTAAGGGCCGTTCTGTTTCTACTAATTCCGTACCCCTGTAAACCCCGAAACTGCATACAAGTTTAATCAAATGATTGAACAAAAATTTCC